GGAGCTGGTGGGAGCTTGAGGTCTCTCCTGCCCTCCCCAGCTCTGGAGTTATCCTTCCCTGACCAGACGCCTTTTTTCTTCAGGTGAGATGCAAGCTGACAGGCCACGAGATGCCATGTCGGCTGTCGGAGCTGCAGGCTTATACTAATGGCAAGAAGTATCAGCGGCTGATAAAGACAGCCAGAGAGTTTGACTATGACAAGTTTGAGCCCCATATAGTGCCCAGCACAAAGAATCTGTATGTATTCTTCCTCTTGTGTGTTATGCTTCACGCTTTCTTCAATCTCAGACATAAAGCAGTCGACCTTTACAAAGTTCTTGCATGTCTGTGCTCTGGGAAAGTATAAAGTATTTATCAGCTTTGAGCACAGTGCTTAAAAGTGAAAAGTTATTAAGTAATAGCACATGTAAACTCTGTTGCTGGCTCTTTCTTTCCTTCTGTGTCTGTTAGACACCAGCTGTTCTGCAAGCTCACTCTCAGACACATCAACAAGTTTCCAGAGCATGTGCTGCGTCATGTCCAAGGGAAGCGCTATCAGAAGGCTCTAAAAACATGTGAGTGCCTTTTCTGAACATACAACAAGCCAACGTTTTTCCCTTGAGCTGCTGAGATTCCAGTAGCTCTACATGAAGGAAGGAGATAAGTTTTCTTTAGCTTGACAGTAACATACTGCTCTTGCAGTGTGCACTCCTCAGCTAGGAAAGAATATCCCAGATGTAGGGAGCAATTGGCCTCTAGCAAATCCCGTGGAACATCCTTACCCAAGAGGAGTGATTCTAGAGCTTCCCCAGAGAGGGTGGTTCACACATTCAGCACACTCTGTGTTAACATCTTTCCCGTCTTTCATGGTCCATGGTATCGCTGTAGATTACACGAATGTATATTAGAGTTGGAGCTCAAGATACTTTTGAGTTGCATTTAATATAAGCTGGAGTTGGAAATGAAAAGGACTCAGGTGACTGGGTAGCCTTGCTAAGTGTTGCCTGACCTGCACTATTAGATGAGGAGTGCCAGAAGGAAGGAGTGGAGTATGTCCCTGCCTGCTTGCGACAGAAGAAGCAGCGGGCGCAGCGCTCTGATGACCACGTGAACGGGAGCAGGCAGACTCACAGAAAAGAGGAATTCTGGGAGCCAAAGTCCAGTGATGAGGATGGAGAAGAGACTGATGACAGCATGAGCGACCTGTACCCACGTGAGTAAGAATGTTGGTATCATCTGTGTCCTAAAGGGAGTTTGGTGGCAAATTTTCTCCTGGCTTCTTTGTACTGTTCCCTGGTGCTTATGTGTTGGAGGGATGTGACTTCCATCCAGTTGGAGGTTCTTGGGTTTTGGAAAAGCTTACCACTGCCAAATAAGAAATAGCAGTTATCACTAAGCAATAACCACAGCTGGATCACATAAGGTGTGAGGGGAGGGATACCAGATCCACTGGGATTTGCTGCTTTCGTATCTCTGCTTTCCTTGTTTCTTAGTGAGTCCTCCAGTCTGACAGAAGTTGGTCAGGCTGTTCTCCTGACTTAACCTGAAGGTGTTGCCTTGCTGCAGGAGAGAGAGGTGACACCACAGAACCCCTGGTGCTGAATCGTTCCTGGAACAGGGCTAGTGAGTGCACCAGGCACGTTTCTAATAAAACACCAGCGTATTTATTTCCCAGGTGTTTCAGTAGTGACACATGTCTGCTTGGAGACTGGAAGCAGCTTGGCAAATCACCTTTAAGATGCCCTCAAAGTAAAGTTAGGGGGAGGCAGAGCCTGTGTGCATAGGGAACCGATTCTGAGCTCAATCTTTGTATTTTAGCTGCACTCTTTGCAGAAAAAAGTCTGGCAGCTCCACAAACCGCAAAGGAGAGCGATGATTTTGCAACAGACAGCGAGGACGAGGGGGCCAAGCAGAATGGTGACATGAATGGAGAGGACGGTGGAAGAACAGATGTCAGCAGAGCAGTTGGCAGCAAAAGGGGAAAGGTGGGAATCAGGCTGCCGCGTGCAGCAGCAGGGAGTGTGGAACCGAGATCCCATCCTGTAGGTGTTTGTCTGATCTATTCCTGTCTGAGAACCAGCAGAACGTGCAAAGTTGTTCAGAATAGACCTTCCCCATGTGCCAGCCACTGACTCGCATGCTGAGGTGTGAACGACTACCAGTAAATGTTTATCCTGCCGGCAGTAACTAGGACTGTTCTGCCTGTATAAATAGCTCATCTTTGCTGGCATCCTGCTGCACACTCTTGCACAGGAAGAGTGAA